CTAAAATGTTTATCGTTGCTGCCTCCAAGCACGATAGCTGGCAAAGTGAGGAGTACGTGCATGTTAAAGTTGTGAAGTTTTGTGTTCTTTGTTGTTGAGTATCAGGTAGTCTGAGGTTTTGTGATCAGTTTTTGAAAGTATCATACAGCAGCTATGAAGAGTGTCCATTTTTTTTTGAAAATTCAATCATTTTCTTTTGATTTGTGGGTCGTGCATCTCCTCACTGCATCTTTTTTCTCCTTTTTCGTGTTCTTGATTTTCCTGGGAGGGGGGCAGTCTTTGAGGGTTGGTTGGATGGGTTCTATTCACTGAGCTGTTGTAATTCATAAAATTGTCCTTGAAGGTGTAATTAGTGCGAAGGACTTCTGAGAGAGTTGGATATTTTAACAGTAATTGACATTTTGCCTGCCAGGTTTATTTTGGAATGCTCGATGCTCTGCTGGCTAATGAGGTTCTTCCAGAGGAGTACCGGAATCGTTGGCAGGTTTGCCTTCTTAATTAACTTTTCTGTTTCACATTTTCTTTCAAGTTCTTGGACTTACATTGACATATTTGGTAAGGTTTTCAATTTGTCGATGGGATGGAGAACATGTATAGTATGATTCTTCGGTCATGTTGGTGGGATGAAAAAACATATATAGCATGATTATTTGGTTGTCTTCTTAATTAATTTCTTTTGTTTGCTCCATAAAACTTAAAGAAGTCTAGAAGGAACAGAAGAGTGATTTTGTTTTGTGAGTTGTTGTTGCCACATGGTGACATTGTTGTTATGAGCTGTCTCGAGTCTCAACATCAATAATGTACTTATTGGGAAAAAAAGTTCTGCACGGTACTTAATTTTGATGATCTGTTTGGTAGCTGTTCTAACTTCTAATAATAGCAAATACTATATAATTTGGTGCTAGGTGATGATACTTATGTGATGAACCCGTATTTTCCTTAAATCATCCATCTAATATGACATTTCATATACAGGATATTCTTTGCAATGATTGTGAACAGAAATGTCGAACGCCCTTCCATTGGTTGTATCACAAGTGTGGGTTCTGCGGATCTTACAACACCAGAGTCATTACACTGCCCACAACAGATTCTGACTGCCCTACCTGAAATGACCGAGGAGTTAGGATTCTCTACTCTGTTCAATGAGATTTTGAACCAGTAAATAATGTAAAGACGGGTAAGCGCCCCCCCCCCCCCCCCCCCTAGTGTCAGTAGACTCTATACTATGCAAAAAAAAAGTACAAGTAGTTCTTCTAAAATGTACAGACGGCTAAGCTCCTCCCCCCCCCCCCCCCTCCTCTAGTGTCAATAGACTCTGTACTATGTAAAAGTAGTCTTCTAAACAAATATGTTTATTGAGATATTAAAAGCTCATATGGTGCAAGCTAATTTGGATTTAGTATCAACTTAAGCTCAGAGGTGACAAGTTTTGACAGAAAATTCATAGGGGTCTTATGGAGCTTGAGAGCCTATAATTCATAATGTTAAGCTTACAAAAAAACTAATGTTAACTACAACTGTATCGTGGCTTTGCTTCTGTGAGCTTTCATAAGTCAAAGTATTTTAGTAGCCTATAAGTTTATGGGAACCTTAATTTGTTGTTAGTAGCATATAGTGAAGTGGGGGCAATGCTACTTATGATGTGGATCCTCCGTTTATCAAAAAGTAAAAAATGTCACTTTACTAGTTTTCTTTCTTCATCATTACTACTTTGCTAAGACAAAGGCATATTCAATTTCATAATGAAAGACAGTTGAATTTTCTTGAAACGACTAAAAAAATGAAAACATATGAAGTCTAAAAGTGTGGCCAAATGCAACATGACTATCATAAAGGAAAAGAAATATGCCACCGAAGGTTTGGGGAATGCTAAAAAAAAATTCGTCCTACCAGGTATGATCTAGTGATCCCGATTTCCATCGGTCGTTTTCAAAGGACCCACCAAATTTCAGGTGAATTGGAGTTTGCAATTAATTTTAGAAAATTAGCAAATTTGTCAAATAATTCATTGATAAATATTAAAACGTCAAAATAAATATTGTTAGCCAGGATAAACGTGGAAAATATTGATGCATAAGCTGTCTCTGATTGAATCATAAAGAAGAAGTTTAGGCTAAACGGAGTCTTCAATAAACTTACAAAGAGCAACCATTAATACACATGAAAAAAAAAAACATTCATAACAGCTTTAGTCGCCGCAAATACCTCTATTAGTCGACGCTAATTAATAGGGGTGTGCAAAAACCGATTTAACCAATAAAACGAACCGAAAAAAACACTATTGGTTTATTGATATTGGGTTATTAGGCTAACGGTTTTTAAACGGTTTTGCAAAATTTTTTATTGGGTTATTGGTTCGGTTTCCGGTTTTATAATTTTTGTTAATGGTTAAACCGATAACCCAATAAGACTACTAAATTTACTAGTCTTATTGTTAATAGTTAAACGATTGTTACTTTCACACTTTTTCTTTTGAATGTGTCTAATGTCTAAACTTGCAAGAAAAATAATTGTTACTTTTATGATTATTACTTTCATGCTAAATGCTGGAAAAATCATATGGTTTATTTGAAAATTTTCTTATTGTGTATATAATATATATGAGTATTTTCTTATTGGTTAAACCGAAAACCGAACCGTTAAGTACCATAAACCGATTAACCAAAAACCGATAAGAAATATGTTATTGGTTTGGTTATCGGTTTGAAGTATTTACAAACCGAAAACCGATAAACCGAACCAGTAACACCTAAAACCGAACCGAACCGACCGATGCGCACCCCTACGCTAATACATATATTCAACGCAACTAAAAGTATGCATTAGCGGCTTTTGTCGTCGTTAATAGCAATAAGAATCGTCTCTAAAAGTCAGCATTAGCAGCAAGTATAGTCGCCACGAATAGCTTTAAAATCGCCGCTAAAAGTGTGTTATTAGTAGCGATTTATTCGTCAATAGAGTTACTAAGTCGCCACTAAAAACTTGTATTAGTGGCGGTGAATTCATTTATTAGTCGGTAGTAAGAGTAGATATTACTTACGGCTTTGTTGTCGCTAAATAGCTATAACAGTCGTCGCGAAAAGAAAGTATTCGCAGCAACGATAGTCGCCACTAATAGCTATAAAAGTCGCAACAACAGGGTTATGGTAGCGACTATTGTCGTCGCTAATGCTCTATTAGTCGCCGCTACAAGTTCGTTTTTAGCAGCAAATTTTAACGACTGTAAAAGTGCTATTTGTAGCGACTTCTGCGAATGCCTTTACTAGTTGCAATAATTTGCCACTAATAGTTTATGCTTTTGCAAACTTAGCTACCACAAATTTATTTTGGGTTACGCATACGTATTATCCCTTTAATAATATGTATAACATCTTCTGTTAATACACAAGTTTGAGGATGTTTTGCAATAAAAGTACTAATCAATATGTTCCTAGTGTTTACCACAAAGCTCGACTGTTTGTTACCATTAAATACTATCACTAATAATAGTAAACATTTTTTTCTTATGTATTATTAATTTTCAACAATATAGCAATATTTCATATTCACAAACACACAAATAGTATGATCGATTTTCATAATATTTTCAAATTTTCATTTTCTTTCTTATCAAGTGCATCTACATGCAGATTTCATTCTTATCAAACTATTTTGCAATTAAACAATCATACATAGCATCTTCATTACGTTGATCAATGAAAACAAAATCGTTCTTAAATCTATCATATTAAATATAATAACTTCATGAAAATCCTCTTCCTATTTATTGAATATGCATGCCTTCAATAGGATTAAGTAAATCCACGTGAATTCATTGGCTATACAAGGATAAAAAGTATTTGTTGCTTAACTATATAATCGTCTTTGTTTTCTTACGCATCATTCAAAAAATAGGATAGTATTATCTTGCAATGAAAAGACTAAACTTTCATGTAGATGTATAATAATTGCACATGCAACAAAATAGGAGGTATTAGGTAATTCTTGGACTATTTATCTCACAATTTATACCTTAGAGATGGAATAAATTATCTCATATATGTGATGGAATAATTACTGAAAAGGCAGTTCTCAAATTTTTGTTCTATTAAATGTTTTGATTTAATCCAAATCAATATTTTTCGTTTTGTTGTCTTTTTATTGGTCACACAACCAAGTTTACTAGTAATTGCTATTTTTAGACGATTTACAAAAAAATTCATTTTGTCGTCTTTTTATTGGTCACACAAACAAGTTTGCTAATTGCAATTTTGAAATGATTTACGGTAAAAAAGAAAGAGTTGCTTAAGTGGATAACACCTTGCACACCAATCCTGGTGACTCGAACCAACAACGTTAGGATTGGAACGAGAGACATTAGCCATGTAAGCAACTCTTTCTTGTGTTCCATTCCATTTTAATTATTGTTTTAGCTCATAAAATTTGTTCCAAAATAATTGTCATTTTAGAAATTCAAAATTAGAGTTGACAATTATTTTCAACTATACCCTTAGCATTAAAAAAAGTAGGCAAAATATTTGACAAAAATATCTATCTACCAAGCATAACCTAACGAAATCAACATTATATTTTTTGATTACTTAATAAGCATAAAAAAAGTTATACACTGTATTTATTATTTTCTTAACAAGCATAAAAAAGCTAAAGCGACGACTAAAATAGAACGGGGAAGTGTAATAGACTTCAATAATGAAGGCAGGCTTTCCTCATTTGACAGAAAGAATGAATCACAAATAGTTCAGACTTGCTAAAAAGAGCAAGACATGTCATTCAATTACCTTCAAGATCCACTTTCAGCTTTACCAACAAGAGTCCATACTACTAGTTGCTAAGAAAACATCAGATACTGCCTGAGAAAACTAACAAGAGTTAAAGACCCAACCCAAGGGTTGTTAATTTCAACATACATGTACATTAACACCACCAAATAAATGGATGGCCACCAAAAACATTCAGTACCATAGAGGAAGAACACGCGTTCTATGAATATAATCTTCTCATTCGAGATGGTTCAGATTCAACGAAGGACCATCTGGAGCAGTTCCTTTAGACAAGTTCATCTCTGCATCAGTTACTCTCATTGTATTAGAGAAGGCCACCACATTCTTCATATTTCCTATTATATACTCGTACTGGAAAAATAAGATTATTATTATTAGTCTTCGTATCTTGCAAAATACTGAAACAAGGCTTAACAAATCATGTAGAGTAGCGCTTACTGCATCAACTTGTCCACTCCTGTAGCTCAAATCAATGGCTTGTTTATGGTTTAGCTCCGTCAAATCCTCAACCTAGAGGTGACAGTAAATTGTCCGAATCAGTGCTCACTAAAGCAGCTTACAGCTCAACAAATGGACTAATGAAGAAGCAATACCTTTTTTTGCGAGTCAAAATACAGAGTTTTGTAGCTGGTATCTGTCTGTGGAACTTTACTTGCAAAGGGCCTTTTGCCTCTCTGTTCAGAATTCAAATAGAAGATTTCAGACACATAAGAGTAAAGCAAGTGATTAAAAAAGAGACACATTATGCTAGAGAAACAAAGAAAAATACAACACACTGTATTGTATATTGATAAACAAGTAAAAATAATATTTGAGTCGAGTTGGATATTGTCCTAAGAAATTATTACAATAATGTGAAATATCTCCCCAAAACTAAACAAACTCTCTACAAGGTATAAAGATTTCAGCGTAGTCTAATAGATAATCTAAAAATCCAAAAACTTTAGATTTAGGTTAGAGTTTCGGGTTGGCCAAAATTATGCCCACTCCTAATTAGTAACGAGATAAGTTATTGAGAGTGAAATAATAGTATCGAGGTTAGTTATCTCAATAATAAAACAATGAAAATGACAAAAATACCTCTGCGGTCTCTCAAATCCTTTTTCTACTTAATAAGATGTGCGGCATTTTTTTTAACACCTCCATGAAATTTGATTTCCAAAGGACTGAGCAAGTTTTGGGGTTTTTGGACTTCTGATCACAAAACTTCATTTTTTCTTCATATATAAAATGTATGTCGAAACACAACTTTAAAATTTCTATCGTCAAACAAAAGCAGGAGGGAGAAAGTAGTACTTAAAGAAGCAAAAATAGTGAAGTGTATGCAGGTAAAACAAAGCATAAAAAATCAAACAAGAGGAAAATAAGGGGGAAAAAAGAATACTATACAGAACCTTATTATCGGCTGCTTCCTTGCAGGCTTTGATCTTCTTCGTCATTGTTGGCTCATCAGCAATTTTTGGAACTAATGTTGTCTTCCTTGTAATTACTTCCGATCCAGTAACTTTAGAGTTCTTCTTATTTATTGCTTCGATGGCGACTATTGGATTCATCACATTTTTTGCTTTGGCTATCCGCTTGCTCGTGCGGATCGGGTCAATCGAAGCTTTTGGGTTTCTCCTCATTTCTGATCTCAAACTAAAGTAAAAATCACAGTAGAAAGCTTTGATTTCTTCTTTCTCCTCTGTAACAGTAATACTTTTCTCTCTTTTTCCCTTGTTAGAGAGGACAAAAATTGAAAGCAGTGAGCGTTTTACGAGACTGATAAAGCTGTTATGAAACTGGCCTTAATTCGTGCAGAGCAGGGGTTTAATCTCTGTCGTTCAATTCGATTCCTGACTGCAACGTGTAAGGTGGAGATTTCTTTGGGTTTGCTTGTTTCATCGCGTAATTGGAATCGTCTTATTTGGCGCCAAGGCGAATGACTTTTCCTTTCTTAACATTTTTCTTATTATTTTTTTTTTATTTTGCTCTTTGAATTTTAAAAAATACATTTTATATTATAAATTAGATTGAATTGAACTTTTCAAGTTTGATTTTGATTAGTTTGTTTATATAATTCATATTTTAATAATTTGTTTCTTAGAAGTTAGAACTTTGTGGAGTATTGAGGCCACACTGTTATAGTCCATGTCGTATAATTTCATGTTGGAATGTTATATAAGGTTGTTGATTACTAATCTGGACCTTTGAAAATTGAAGTTATTATTATTGTATAGGTATAAGGTAAGTATGATTGAATATAAGGTATATAATTTTGAATTTTTGAATAGTTAAAAATTTGTGATACTAAACTTTACATTCAATTTAAAATTTATAATCTTCTTTTAAAAAAAATGAAATATAACTCATAATTCAAAAATTTAATGTTAACGAGACCAGCTTCTTTGAGGGAAGACAAAATTGAATCTATATTGTGAAAGATTCAATTGATTATCCCTAAAATTGCACTATACAATTAGAGTGAAACCATTTTAAATAATAAATATATAAATTATTAAATATCCTTGATGTAGTTGTGTATTTAATTTCACTCACCACGCAAGTCTTGTTTGATTAATTTGTTTGTTATTCTAACATTTGGTAATTGTTTAATCTCGTGATTAACTATCCCAATATTGTTATTCTTAAGAATCGGATGTTTGAGTTTTATGTATATATATGATTCAAGTAGTAAAAACATTTTCTTCTGAATAATTTTTTTAAATGATTATGATGTTCAAATCAACTTGTATGTATTTTGATTAATTTTTTATCAAATATCTACGGTCAATCTCATCTTTTATACTACCAAAATTATATATATGATCACCTATATTATTTTTGTACTATATATAGTAACAAATTTTACCAAGTGGTAGTACTATATGAGTCAAATTAAGAACGTGCTCGTACTGATACTGGGACTGTTGAAGGACACCATCCAATGACTATACTCTCTGCTTCCTCATTTATTATTTTTTTAGTTACTTATTTGTATTAAAGTTCGATTAAATTTATATTTGTACCAAAGTTTCACGTCAGGCTAAAACAATTTCTAACAAAATAGACTCAATTTTTAGGGTTTGAATCAGAAATCTACCGTTAAGAATGAAAAATACCTACCAATTTAATTATCAGTAACAAAGTCATAATTATCACTAAGGAAATTCAAAAGGTAGGCATACAAAGAATGCAGGAAATTCAACATCTACGGTAAAAATATATTTAAAAAAATAGTTTCATACATATAGTACTATATATTTTTCAAGGAAATGAATTCGGTGTTCAAATAAACCCTCTACCTTCTCAAATGCATTTTACCGCAATCCTCATTGGTTACCTTACCTACTCTATTTAAATACCTACGTATATTATTGTCCTCTCTTTGTCCCTAATGGTCTTTTACATTATGATTAGTAACTCACTAGTTGGCTATGTCCCTTGACCTAAATAAGCAATTTCTTTCCCTGTTTTTGGACCACCTAATGAAAAGTTCTTTGAATGGCTCTGGCTGGATATTTATTTAGTCGTGCAAAGCATAATGAATGATTTAAAGTTAATTATCTACCAATATTGGTGGCCTAAATGAAGCAACTTTTAACTATTACTAATATATTTTTAACCAATCTGCTTGTCAATATCTATAATATACTAAGTGTGAATTTGGACACGATTTGGTTGATATTTTTAAAAGATAGTACTAATAGTCAAAATAAGTTGAAAAATAATAGTATTTGAAAGTTGAAGTGTTTTGGAAGTGAAAATAGAGTTGAAATTTTATGAGTAAGAACTTCAAAAATCTGAGTTAATATCTATTTTTCAAACTTCAAATTTTACACATTAGGTTAAGACGAAAAAATGGGTCAGTCTAACAAGCAAAACACTTATTTGAAATAGTCTCCGAATAATAACAGTAGCATACTCAGTGTAGTCCTACACATTGAGATTTGAAGAGGGTATAGTGAATGCAAACATTACCTCTACCTCAAAGGTGAAGGAGTATGTTAATTATGTCGAACTATCAAGAGCTCTTTTGTCCCTTTCTTTTATATAAAAATACTAGGACCAATTTCGACGCACTTAAGCTAATTTAAAATCTTTTTTATTTCTTATCAATATAGATATCGAATAACTATCCTTACCAAATTTAAAACTTAGATATATGGTAAAAAAATCACTTTAACATGTTATATATATGTTGGAATTTGTGTAGCTGTCAAGGGCTCTTTATAAGTTATTTTTCAGTATCATCCAAAAGTGAAAACACTAGGAAAATAGAAGAAGCCATGATACACACATAAACATAATTTCCAGTAATATATATTACTAAAATATATCTTCACCTACTTTGGTTTCATTTAATTAATTATATTTGAGTTGTGAACTTGGTAAGAATCATAATTTTGACTTTATATGGATGATATATACTATATTGTCTTAATCTCACAAAATCAGACAAAAACAGCAATGGACACAGTAAACCACTTTTTAAAGTAAAGTTTGAACCTAATCACAATATGGTACTATAATGATATAATATATTATATAAAAAAAATAGAAAGGACAGACCTAAAAGTAATCTTGAAATTTATATGAAATAATAGATATATATATTCAAGATAAATTATAAAGGAAGAAGCCAGAGAAGACAATCATAAAATAAGGTTTTATATCTATGTCTTTGTGTCTCCTTAGACAATGACAGTGGGGGATATTACATGAATGATATGAATGTGTACATTTTAACTCAATCCACCAAAAAATCATCTTTGAATGTGGATTTTTTAAAATAAAAAATAAAAAATTGTTTAGTTATACATTCTAATCAAGTGAAAAAAATAGATTTCTACTCACGAATTTCAAGTGATATACACAATATACAATTTAAAAATATCTTTAACTTTCAAATTACCTATGCAACAACTTCAACTTCAAAAGCCCTTTCTTTTGGGATAAATATACTCATGTTTGTACTATTAAGTATACTTTTTGCTATATTTTTTATATAAATATACGACTTTTGTTATACTATCAATCAAATATATATTTTATGGTGAGCTCAAAAATAAATAACAGACGTAAATATAGTGACTAGTGAGCTCAGAAATAAATAAATTATCCCTATTTATAAATACACAATTCACTTTACAAACCCACCCCACCCATCACTAGATCCTAGGAAGTGTTTGATCATAGATTTTTTTTCCCTTTTTTCAAAATATTATTTGGTTATATATTCAAACCAAGTGGAAAAAATCTACTCACATTTTTTTACTTTTTAAAAGTGATATAGGTTCAAACACAATTTAACGTTAACATACTTTTTTTTTCAACTTTAATTTTAAGAATTTAATTTTTCAAAATTTCAACTAAATCTATGTCCAAATGCATGCTTAAAACTCATAATTTTAGATATTACTGTTATCATGATAGCCAAACAAGACAAAATAGTGCCCAATTCTGCAGATATTCTGGATACATTTTTTTTTTCCTTCTGTTCAAATAACTCAAAAAAATAATCAAGAAATCTTGAATTTATAACAAACTGTGATGCATTTCATATAGTGATCACTACAAATTGGTACAAACAATATCATTTCTTACTCTTTTTATGTTTCCCATTGCGAAACAGAGACCCAAATCCAAATAAATTTTGTGATGCAACATTAAGAACTGGACTAATTCTAATACCATTACCATAATTAGTCCCTGCTGCTCCATAATTCTTCCTTAATGGCGGTTTTTGAGATGATGGAAATGTGTAAAAACTTGCTGGTGTTGATGAATTCTTGCTTTGCTTTAATTGCAGATTCCCCTGTTTCTTGGAATTTGGTACTGAACCAGTTGAATTGCTTCGAGATAATAAAGGTAATGACCAAAATGAACTACTTTTCTTGTGTGTATTAACACAATGAACACTACTGCTTCTTTTAATACCCCAAAAAGAATGATGTTTTTGTTGCTCTGTTTTGATTTCTTGTTTTGGGCTTTGATCATTTTGGTCAATTTGTGGAAGGGGTGGAAGAGATTGAGTCTTTTTTGATAAAATGGTTTGTTTTGAAGAATTGACAAACTTTTCTTGAAGTTGAATTGGGCGAATTATGCCATCTGAAAAGAGTTCATCTGCTGATGAAGTTTCTGTATTGCTGATACAGAAATCAAATTCAGAATTTGAAGGAACAGGTTCTTGGATTTGTGTGTTGTGAAGAATATTAGTAAGATTTGAAGGTGAAAGATTGTGGGAAAAAGAGATTCTTGGACTTGTAACTAAGCTTGGAGGCTCAGATATCATATCAATGGCCATTTTTTTATTTTGTTTTGTTTTCTTTGGCTCAATTATTGAAAGAGGAGAGAAGAGGAAAAGGGAAAGAAGACAAATATTCAAATGTGATGTGGGAATACTGACAGACTACAGAGGAGAAAAGGAAATTTTTCAGAGAATGGTTGCAGAGTCAAAAGGAAAGAGAAGAAGAGGCTAAATAGGTGGTTGGAATTTTGGGGCACTAGTAGTTTTACAATGATCAGTGGTTTTTCTGTCTAAAACAAATACTAAAATCTACTTGGATAATGGATAGGGTTATTTATTCTTTAATTAAATATCTCGATTTCGAGTTTTAGTTATTGATAGAGATTATTTTTTTGGGATAAATTTTATGTAAGTTGAATATAAATTAGTCAATTTTCAATACTTTGAGAGATATATTATAGATTTTGTTTAAAAGATGATTAAAACGAAATTGTATTTATCCTTCTTTCTTTTCTTATATATAGTTTTTCATATTTAGTGACACTTCATTATTTTCACTGAATTTAAATAAGTTATTTATAAAATATCTTCAGAAAAAAAGAAAAAAAAAACATTTCAAACTTTGTAAATGATCTAAATTTGCGATTTAGCTGATATTGTTAGTCCATAAGGGCAAAATCGAACCAGTTTTGTAATATCAGATTATAAATGTGACATTTCTATAAAAGAAGGGAAAAATTGTTTCGTTTCACGTAGCCTTGAGAGAGTTTTGACCTTTCCAACAATTTCTATACTCGTCTAAAAAATTTCATACTCTTAGGTCAATATCTAAAATAAAGTGAGACAAATAATGCAATGAATAGGAAACATATTGACACTAAAGAAATTCGTAAGAAGGGTATTTCATTCATTAGATAGAAAAGTTTACTGAAGTTTCACGATCCATTATTAAATTTATTTCAATTCTAAAAGCTCGGGGTTAATAGTATGAATAACATGTCTACTCCCTACAAAATGAGTATGCACGCTTAAGGGGAAAAGAGATACCTTCTTACTACAGCAACGAACTACTTTTATGAAACATTGAGTGAGTCTTTATGTCATTATGCTAATTATAATTAGCCTCTATTACTCATGAAAATACCTAAATTCTTTAGCAAGAAATTGTTTCTTTTAATTGCTTTGTTAGAATGTGCAACACATGTCAATGTCCAAATATCAAATTATAGTGAAAAAGCTTAGGGTAATAATAATAATAATAATAAGTAGAAACCATGAATGATTTATTAACACTTTGAAGCAACATACATCATTTATACAAAGCATTAACATACATGTTATATTATTTCCATTGCTTTTGTCTCTACACGTTTGAGTCATAGGCCTAAATACAATTGAGTAATTTGACCACATGCCAATTTTTAGACTATTGCTACTCAATTACGTTGGCTTCTAACTTGAAGCACAAGATCCTACCATTAAAAAGTGTGACGGAGTGATAAAATTTTTATTTATTGTTAACTAGAGATCTCAAGTAAAGTTCGAGTCACAATAAAAATTATTAAATTCAACAGTTTCGATAAAGATCATATTTTATATTTTAAAAAATTACATAACTTATTCAGAATAACAAATAAAATTTTTTATGATTATTCAAAATTTATAAATTTAAAATTTCTGAATCCGCGTTGAGTTAAAAAGAAGGAGGTTGTGGGTTAACTTTTTCTTCTCTTGACTTTTTAGTGTCTGCTGACTCCAACCACCGACTTAATTATTATTACTATTATTTTACCATTTTTTTCTAGATAACAGGCTTAGAATTTAGATGAATGAATTCTTCATATATAAATTACTTATTGACTAGGCAGGTGCTATGTTTTTTTAACATACACACGACAAATATAGAAAATAAAAAATATAAATATAGAGAAGAAAAAAATGAGTCATGATGGCTTGTACAATTAGGTTTAAGTATGTTTAATTATTGAAACATGATCAAGAAAAACATGGAAATTGTTGATTACAGGGCCCTTTCTCTAGATAATCCAAAATCCATCATTGATTTGTAATTGCTAACAACATAACTAGGTCACCACGAATAATTTATCTCGATTGTACCTTTACCAACTTTTTTGTTTATAGTTAATTAAGATAAATTGGAATTAAATAAGATACATTTTCCCTTTAATTTAATCACTTTCTTTGCAAATAAAATCAATTACACTACTTATTCCTACAAGGACATCAAACCTAACTTCAACGCTCTCTATGATGACTTTTGTCATGCCTCTATAAAAATTAAATTATGACAATCATTATCACTAAAGGTGAATTTATTGGGTCATACTTAATTCAATTCAATTATTTGTCCTAAACACAACAAATCAAGAGTCTATCAGAAACAACTTCTCATTTCACTAAGTATGAATAAAATTAGTGGTAATTAAGGGGTGCATGTCAAAATATAAAGAAGTAAAATCGTGTAGAAATCAAAGAGTGTCAATACATAATATATACACAATAACACAATATAATTTTTCGATAAAAAATTAATACCCCTCAAATATATGCAACTCCACCATGGATAAGGTTGCATACATGCTACTTTTCTTAGATTGCATTTATTAATTGCACTAGCTATATTGTACTATATATTATTAAATGTCACTATTTGTTGGTGACTCCCCAAAATAAGAACTGAAATATACTCTACCTCATTATTTATTGTTGTTTGACTTTTGTTACTACTTCCCTTGGATAAATTCCAATATAATAGAAACTATTGTGGATTGATAATTTGATATGACTAATAAATAATCATTAATACGATTTCAATTGGGATTAGTTGAAAGATTGTTGAAGGTTTCACGTATATTTGGTCTGATTCTGATGTAGAAGACATGCTTTCCATTTTCTTCTTAACAATGACATGATAACTACAGATTAAGCAAAGAATGCAAAGAATACATGTTCTTTTATTTGACAGTTTATCAATAAACATTGGAAGATTTCACAATTGTGCTATGCAATACTTGTACGTTGGCAAGGTCTTACCACTTCCTTCTAGAACTAACATGGAAAGGTTCTTTTTTGTTGCTAAAACTAGTTTAATATTGATTCTGTTGCCAACATTGTAGATTTATACTATCAGTTTTGGAAGGTTCTAAAATTGAATTGACATCACTAAAATGGAGGTATTTAGAGACTACCAACATAATCATTGATTATAGCAAGGAGCCAATTTATGAATTCTCAATAATCTCAAAATAAAAAAGATTTATTTTTTTATGTAGAATCAAACTCCCATACAAGAGGCCGATAAAGCTTAATGGAGTTCTGTCACTAATACTGGACCAAGTGATTCTTTGTCACTGAATTCCCAATAGATATTTCTTATATATTTAATAAATTTTTTGATATAAATATAAAATGTGCTAGAAGTTACTGGGTTCTATATCCTAGATCCCCTCCCTCATGAATAAACAACAACAAAAAAAAAAACATAGGCTTCACATGATTCGAGTTTTTTTTTTTTTGGTGTCTAGCAATAACTTGCAAAGCGTGATAGGAAAAGGTAGACAAAAATAAAGTAACACGAACCATTTATGTTATATGCTTGATTGGAAAACAAAAAAAAAAAGTACGTAGTTTTCCATTTTCTATCATCTTTCGTTGAACTAGGGTCAACGAGTAATTACAAGCGGTCATGTTAATGTATCGATGGATCGATAGAGTCCCTTTCTATCAGTATCAGGGAATCTATTATCATTGGACCACCCCTTATAGCAAAAGTTACGAGAGAAATTAATGTTCACAGTAAAAAAATATCTGAAGTTATCCCATAAAAAGTATCTTTCCCTTCCTTGCCTGTTGGGTCATGGAAAAGCAATTCAATTTCACATAAATAAATTCCAAATCATTCAAAAGAAAAATAATTTAGGTTGGAAAATGACAATGATGGTAATGATTAACGAAAATCTAAGATTAATAGCAGAGATGTCTAACTATTACAAGTCCAGATCCATAGAACTGATGGACATGAGTGGGAGGTATACATTCATCAATGACAGCCCTCGTTCACCACAAAGGTTGTGTCAATTTTTCAGGTTTTTGACAGACGAACCATATTTTAAGACTTGACATGTGACCAAGTTGTCTACATTATGCAATTTAGGCCCAACAACACACCTAAGTTGTGGATTCCCAAGCCATACAATACTCAGCGGGTTGGCCACAATTCATGGCATTCACAACCTTACAAGATTACAGGGTCCCAGAATCAAGTATGCATTTGTTGCTATCGAAGATGTAAGCAAAACAAAAAAGTATGTCAAATCAATGTGCTATTTTTAGTCCCCTGACAGTGCTAATTCAAAGAGTACACATAACACCTTAGGCAAATCTTACATCAAAATGAGAAGAAAATGAAGTGGTTTACAAGGCATAGCATAAATTCACACAATTCACTCACTTTTGGATTCTATGATGGCTTAGTCCAAAGAACAAATCTGTAAGGTTTTTTGAGCCAAAGCAGATAATACAAGTCATGGGCAGAGATCAATCCTAATAGGCTAATTCCACCACAAAGGTTAAGTCTGCCTTGCTTTACCCCACCAATCAATCCACCCCAAAAGTTAATGCCTCGACCACAAGAAAACAAACAGTAGACTATTCAATTCAGCCAAAGACGATAAAACAAACTTTCTCCCCCAAACAAAAAGAAGATAAGATTTAAGGGAACATACAAAGCAACAGCTGAGCAAAAAAAAGATTCTACATAATACAGACATGTACTGCCTACTCTAACAAAAGGCAGGAAGGATTACACTGCAGATATTCTGAACAGACACTTCCTCCTATATTAATCAGGGGCCCTGGACAACAAAATAGGAAATATCATGGACGAGATCATTGGAATTTGAGCACCATAAAGTTGTAGGATGGCACATAGCAAAATATAGATTACTACCAAATAATGTTCTCCAAATTTAAGTTGTTAAATCATTCAATAACAAAGTCAGTCTTGGATAAAGAATTCTAACCTAAATCGTTTTTCTTTTCTTTTCAACCTCTATTTATATTTTGACCGAAGCAAAATCTTTTTTTGAATTTTTAGTCATTCTAAATTATGCAACAACATACCTAATTAAATCCCACAAGTGGGTCTAGGAGGGTTGAATGCATGCAGACCTTACCTCTACCTCGTGGAGGTGGAGAGACTGTTTCCGTCATTCTAAATGATGAAGAGATAAAGTAAAAAATATTCTGAACCAACAAAACTATATTCACAAAGTACATGTGACAACTGATGTACAGTTACAATAGCTATGACGTCAATAGTTTTGACATTTTGCAAGTTTACACACGATGATGCCTGAAAAAGAATTTCTATTTACACAAATTGTTCTAATTATGCGTATTCAAAGATGCAGTTCTATTTATATCTGCAAGAATGCCAGGCATGAACGTTTTACAACCTTTACCTGCACGCAATCTGCAGCTTCAAAGGTGAGAGTTACCCGATAACAACAATCAAATTGAGTATTCACCGATTATGTATTGAATCTCGTAGACCAACCAACATTAATCAATAAACAAGCACCATGGAAAAAGATGTATTTTCAAATCATTAATCAATGATCGGAGTCATCGCAGATCAATGACATCAAACTTCAAGTTAGAATCCATATAGACATCTGTACAATGCTTGTAAATTGGGCTACCATCAGGAGGAGGGTCATGCGGATGAAAACCACGCCTTGGACATTGTCGTATAACTGTCATTCCACCCGGATTTGTCAATCGGAATATTCCATGAGTTCTACGCACAATAGAATACCACAGATTAGTTAGATGAACATCATTAACTAGAGATAAAAGGGAAGATTGTCATTTCTCACTTGTAGGAGGGATACAATCCTCAACAAATAATCCCACCCACACCAGGACTATTTTCTCCAATCGTGGAAGATAGCTAAATATTTTTTGGTTAATTAGCTAGGTTGAGTAACTAATCTCATCAAGTAAGATATATAAACCCTATCAAATGATTGTATAATGCACAAAACATGTACCAAACATCACCAAAAAGGGCATTACACTAAGAGCAAAATCTACTTCACCAGAGATTGAGTCTACTTTACCTTGAACTGTCTCTTGGGGCCATTACTATTGCAATTGCTTCAGGCAACATAATCTGCTTAATCATTAGTAAAGGAAATAAGTGAATCCAGGATCAGTGATGAAATCATATCAATAATTAAACATAAATTCAGGTGTAATGGGCAATATAAACTTTGCCTCAGTTTTTGTAAACAAACTAGAGGCATATCCCGGTTGAGGAAGTAGAGTTAAGAGTACAGAAACCTGATATGAATACTGGGTATGAACATCAATGGATGACATGAAACATGATTGCGTTGGATGTGTCTGAAAAAGAGTGCAAAGTCAAGAGTCATTACTTGTGACTTTACGGGAAAAGATGCAGTAAAATAACTTGTAGAAGATACCATGGACAACATTTCAATATACATTTCCTATTATGACTCAATAAATTGCAATTGAGTATTCTAGGTGTTCTACCCGCTACTTGATAGTTCTTCCACATATTTTCTTACAAAAGCATAGCAAACTCCACTAGATCACAGAAACTGAACTGGGACTTGATACAATAGTTTATACTTAGCATGACGTCGTAATTCAGGAGTTATTCATCAAGGACTAGGATCTTCGCAAAACAGACTTACATGAATCCACCCAAGAGGAAACAATGATTGCTTATCTTGAACTTCAAATATTTCCTCCTCATTTGTAGTTTGACACTGCTTAGAAAGAATTCGATCAGGATACTATCCAAGGAAACACATCAAAAGAAAAATACAATTACTCTTTTTATGAATAATATAAATGAATCTTACTTACCGAATCTGATGTCGATTCCTGCTTAGGAATGATCAGAGCTGTGATATAAAATTTTCGGTTTTTCTGAAACAAGCAATAGTATGGATGATGATACAGTTACAAAGAGATAGTAGCTGAAAACACAATGATAAGAGTTAATGGGACATACTAGTGATCCAGCAAGAACACCACAGGTTTCAAGATTTTTGTTAGTATTGGACTTAGCTAACTTCATGAAAGTATCCATCACAGATGCTGACTACAAAATGAGAATAGGTGAAAGTATTTTATAATGTAAAACGAGAAAAGAGGACAAGGAAATGAACAACCAAAAAATTGAATAGGAAATTGTAGAAAAATCTCACAATGTGCAATTGCAGGGGATCTTCAGAACAGATTAGACCATCAGGTGATGATTTAACCAATCCACATTCCACCTCTTCAACTGGACATGCTGCGGTTGGCATCAAATCTTGTACCTCCGCAAGAACAGGTGGAGGAGAAGGTTGTCTAATGATTTCTGATTGTAGAGGGCTTTCTTCTGCATCAAAGGAAATCAATGAAGCAGGTTCCTCAAGACGCAGCACTGGCTTGTCACTGTTGACTGGTAACATCAATTCCTGACATGGTTTCCCACATTCTGAACTGATATTATCCTTCTTATCAGAAGATTCATTTTCCAGAGGCTGCTTCAGGAGGCTGTTTATGGATTAAGAATTATACTCAAAAGCCAAATACAAGCACACTGAGAAATAAACTTATACGGTAAATAATATTATCTATTGGTAGCTCAGGAATGCATTATAAGCCCGGACAATGCTATTACTAATACGTGTAGTAACAGCGAAAAAAATTCACAAATGATAAAACATGTTGAAAAGAAATCAATTAGCTAAGAAACTCACCTGGGGATCAGAACAGGGGTGAAGTCAACATTACTTGGATAAGACACCTGCATTTAAGTACAGAAGTTGTTATTTGTTAGACTTTAGTCCTTACATTTACTTGAACAGGACTTAAACCCTTATATTCCTGAAAAAGGTTTGTTTGCCGGGACACTCAATCTATGCCTATCCTCCCATGATCCAATCTCAAGAGCTTCTGACCTTGTGCAAGAGTTTGATTGCAGAGATGCATGAGAATGAATTCAACATAAAAGACATTGGAGACTAGAACACTTACATCTTGATTAAGAGTCAGGATTTCATTGACTTCTCACTTACAAGGATTAAAATTGTATTTTACCATGCCAAAGTTATAAGAATACATCCTTCACTCTCCTCTGTCACTAGTTTGAGGACTATAATCATGTTTATCTAAGACAAAAAAAAATAATTTAAAAAATCCTTCATACCCCTCTGTCACTAGCTGGAAGCTGCAACTGTCCTCGAAGTCCATTCGGACCCAAGATGGAATGTCTGTTCAGAGTTTCATCCGTTGGACGCGGAATACTAAGTGACCTAGAAAAGCAACATAATAAACAAAGAAGAACATTGAATAAATAGTTGACATCCGGCAAACATAAGCTCAGTTTCACCTTGACTAACGCATTCTACCTTGCCCATCATTGTTTCTAATCCACATATTGTGCCAGCCTAAGAAGAGATTTTAATTTGCAAATGCTATACAATATGATTTCAGTATGTAGATGTGTGCTTGCTATGCTTTGTGGACAAGTTAATGCTACAGCATTTACTTCAGGAATCTTTTAATCCAGTATACAATGCAAAATGTATCATTATCATTTAATGCTCAAGGCTTTATTAAGATAAAAAGAAACTATTCTTGACATCCATAGGTTTTACTTTCATAATTTGTAGGTTCCAAGTAATAATAAACACACTACTCTAAGGATGAAAGCTACAAAGAGGTATGTATACTAAAGTCTGCTGGTGGTTCATGTATAACAGTATAAGTGATTCCATAGGTCTTCAGTAAATTTTAAGCAAGGTAAAATGAACAGATTCCACATGCAACATTCAGATTTAGCAAGAGACCCCAGACTAGAGCCAGAACTAAGCAACTACTCCATGCCATTAAAGTGCATTGATCGGGCACATTGCATCTAGCAATAAATAACAGAGTAATTTTTATTGGAGAAACGTACAAACGGCGGATATGCTCATCTACAGGCTTCACAGGCAAAAACTGTGTGGTTGTTGGAACTTGATACCCAAATTCTCGAACAGGCACCGCTATCTGTGAGATGCAGAAACAACGTCATCAAAATAGACCATTAATACAAGCTGTAAAAGTTCCAACTACCAATGAATCTAGCATTTCGTTCACAACCTTTCACCTTATCTTAAATAAAATCTTCGAAGGCAATCTAACACAACCATAATCTCAACATTTTAAGTAGAGAAAGGTAAAGGGCTGAGCCCATTATCCATTGAATTTCGAATTGTCCACCATTGGCCTTTGGGAATTTCTCGGTTATCGAACAAAATCAATTTTAAGTAAGAGAAACAACATATGGCTATGATACACCAAAGTTTTCTTATAATTTAAAATTTTCGTTTCCGGCAAGCCTCTTAGTTAGTGGAATTGCAATTATCGCTTTGGTAAGCTTCAAACAAACAGTTTTTCAACATCTTCAGTGCATCTCTTGATTTTTTGTTATTATAATTATATACAGTGTGCTTGGAGCACTGCACACCAGTAACCATACACTTTCTAGAAAATATGAAAGACAAATAGAACCCACAAAACCAGACTTGCATGCATTACAACCAAATTCAAGGCAGCCAAACAAGATCACTTGAATGACACCTAGGAAGTAGAACGTACACGATGCATACCTTATTTGTCCCCCAAGCCTTAAAGCTTTGCTTATTGCCAGGAGAATATTCCCCTGAGAATCCTAAAAGATTATTTTGATGATGATTGTTCCCCTTATTCACTTGATATGTGCTTTTTCTGTTTAGAGCCTCAAGTTTCTGTTGAACTATTGGCTTCAAATCCTCAAGCTCAGCCACAGCATTTAGTAATCTCTAGAGATCAAATATAAGAAAGTCAGATTAGGTAAAGCTTACATATGAACACATAGGAAAGGCATCAATTGTCTTACCTTTTTCAAATAAATTTTGTTGCTCTGCAGTGATGCTCGATAATCTCGATGGCATGGTATTGTCTCAGAGACCAAACTTAAACAGAAAAACACACGTAATTTAAATACATTGCCAGGCATTCAGAACAAAGTTAAGACATCCAAATCATTGAAACCACTTAGTAATTCAATCTAGAGGTTTCTAATTTAAATATAAAATAAAAACTTTAAGGGTTGATTACCCTAACTTGAGGTTACTCTATCAGACATAACCCATCTTTAATTTCAGTTACAAACTTCCTGCACTTAACAATTTAGAGAAACCAAAAACTTTTTCTATACGTAAATTAACCTACTAACCCACTGGATAAGAATGTGGATTAAAAACAAATAAAATATTTATTTAAGTATTTAACAAGCTTCTAAAACTCAGTTTTTTAAGAAATCTGGTGAATCAAAGAAAGTTTTGGAAGGCTCGAGCATAAAATTTAGACAGTATTTTTGAATGCTTCTCTGTATCTTATGTTAGCAAGTACTTCGGAGGTAAAAAATAAAAGAACTTTGATGCATGCACTATTGAGAAATGTTCTTCTTAGGAGATAATACTATTATCCAATAGGGTGGCTTGGTCAACTCTGAAAAAAAAAAAAAAAGAGTTTGGGTACTCAAAACTTGAAAGGAAGGTCTTCTAGCATCTAACCACCTCAGAATTAAGCACAATAATAAACATAAACCTTAATGCAGTCTCTGACATTAATTTTGGATCATGTGACTTCCCTTCTCACCTTGAGAATCTAAGAAGCATGACATACAAATCTATGACGTCTCCCTCTGCGCGAAAAATGTCAGCCTACAATATCGTAACCATATCATTTCCTGCAATGTTGCTTGTAGAGAACACAGAAGAACTTGGACTCATACAGAAAGGTATTTATAAACTATTCCTAGCAGCAAAAGCACTTTAGCACCAAAAGGCATTCAATTGAGTGACATAAGAAGTCATAAAATGATGGAGAAGTTACTAACCAGTTGCATATCAGAACAGAAAATTCCAACTCAAACAGACACAATTGCACCACCAAACAAGTACCATGCTATAGTTGCGATAATATTAAGAATGCAAAGAAAAGGCTCCAGAGTATTAACCAGGTATAGCAAACAATAATATAGTGGCAGTGGGTTGATCAAACAAGGGATCAATTGTGGCTAGCATAAAAGAATTAGCAAGGTTCTCTAAGATCATCAAAAGCAACAAGCAACATACAGATGTGATAGTTATTGGACAAAGTAGAAGCAACTATCTTAGGGAGATTCAGTCACTTCAAATATGTAATTGTATACCAATACTTGGCAGAGCTTAATTCTAGCTAATGCATCTGCTTAAAACTCAAATAACATTTTGACATCTTTGATCGCCTGTTCTTCTATAATATACCAAACAAGAGTATAACTAGAGTAAAGGGGATTATATATGCTACTCGAATTGGAATAGGATCAGAACAGACCCAAGAACTAACCTTGATGCAAAGCCAAATCTTAATGAAAATCCAGCATTGGACCTAAGTACTGACCTAAGAAATGAGTATGTGTTGCCCTAAATACACCAAAGTGGAAGAGCTTCACTTGCTCTGTTTCAGCAAAACCTAAACAGCTAGCACTCCATTCGTGGTTCAACGGTTCCTTATTTTAGCTAGAAAGGCATTACATAAGTCAATGGTAAAACCTGGGCAGTGGTAATCCTAGAGAGTTGCGAAAAATTGTTTCCAATTATGGAAGTCTGCTTACTATTAGTTTCCCAATTAAAGAAATTATATATAAATAAAATCACAATAATGATAGTGACAACAACAACGAAATACTCCCAATAGTTCTCCAATGAAAACCCTACAGTCGCCAATTATTTTCAGTATGCAAATAAAAATCAGTGATTCAATTTTCAAGCTTAGGAGTTGCACATGTAATGATATAGCTTTGATCATTGAACAATCGATCGAAAATTCACTAACTTAGTTCACAATTCACGGAAATTCAAATAAAAAGTACAAAATCATAAAGTAGGTTATGGAAAAGGAGGACCTGTTTGAGGACATTATCTGCGATGCGATAGTAAATTTTCAAAGCGATTCGATTATCCACATCGAGTTTCTTCGTACGCGCTGCGATGTTGATTTGCCCCGACGACGACCGAGTCATCATATTGAAGAATTTGGAGGTTTTAATTCCTCTATTTCTGCTTCCTTATCATTCAATTGAAGCAGATCGTAATTCGTAACGTTGATCAGACACAGAAAATTGAGTCTTCAATGGCTGCCCCTGCTTGGAAGAGAGAGAGGTAGAGATTGGGGAAGGCACGGGCGAGGAGAACACAGAGGTCATTCATGAATCCTACAGGGGCAAATGTGGAAAGGCGATATTAGGGCTCGTTTGGTTGAATAAACATTGATACTCACACTCTTTTTTAAAATAAAATAAAAAAATCTTATATAATAATGTACCCATATGTCCTTTTATATATTACTCGGTTACTCCCATTGTATATTGAAATTATAATTCATTTCAAGTTATATTTGAGCATAACATAATAACATACTCTATATAATTTTACAAATTGGAGTTTAGAATAAGTAAAATGTATACATATCTTATATTAATCTAAGAGGTAGAAAATATGCGATAGACCTAGCTCAAGAGAGAAAATTTCAAAGTAATTCGAAAAAAATACAAGAAATAACATATACACTACTAACAAACAATACATAGTCTCAAAACTAATATTTATCTCAAAAATACAGAGATTGTTTCGGATAGATTTCGATCCAAGGAGAAAAAGTCCAAAGTAGTCCAAAAAAAATAGTAAAAGTACAAGAATAAGAAAATAGTAACAACATCATAAAATAGAAACTACGATAAAATAATATGATAATTGAAGTACAAAACAATAAATAATTATAGAAATGGAAGGACTAGATACTACAAGAGCAATACTGCAACCACTAGTATGAATGGATAACAAGACACACAAAGTGTTGCCCTAATTTGTATCCTCAACAACCTCTTATCTAAGGACATGTCCCCGATAAGCTAGAATTGTGTTATGTTTTATCTAATCATCTCTCCAATACTTATTGGGTCTACCTCTGCCTCTAATGAAACCATCTATACCCAACTTCTCACACTTTCGCATTAGGACATATGAACATCCCCTTTTCACATATCTGAACCAATTTCTGTTTCGATTCCCACATTTTGTCCTTTCACTAAAGTCATTCTCACCTTACTCGGATATCCTCCTTTTTAATCATATCTCTTCTTCGTATGACTTTCAATTTCTGAACATGAGTCTTATAGTGATCAATAATATCACTGATCATTACCTTTTGAACGATCATTTTCTGAGATGATATATAAATTTTTAAATCTGCAATTGCTCAAAAAAATCAAATGAATCATCAGGTGGGATAAAAGGAAATAGTGTAGATGTGTCGCTCGATGATTGGATGCACAATCTTCCGGCTTCAGGGGCTTGATCAGGATTCAAGAATACTCCTTAGTTCTTTTGCTTCTTTTGAAAATTATGTCAAATCATTTTCTTATATTCCTCCTAGATCAGCTTTGGTACCACAAAGGCCGTCGCCATAGATGAGGTAAAAATTCGCAAAAAGAAAGAAAGATAAAATGAACCCCTGTCAATAAGTTTTTTGACAAAATAAAAAGTATATCTTCATGTTAGTGCCTAGCAATCACTCCAGCAAATGTTTGGGATTGTTAGATTAACATGACTAGAATGGAGGTAATTTTTTTTATTTAAAATTTGTGTATCATCTAGCAAGGTAATTGTGCCAAAAAAAAAAAAAAAAAGTGCAAAAAAATAACGAAGTCTTATGAAACTATTCATCTTACAAGAATTCCGTGGTTGCCAAAGGCTGTAGCCTACAAGCAACAATGTCGAGTTATAATGAACTTTGATAGTTATTTTTTTTTTCGTAATTTAATATTTGAACGTATTTTTTTGAAAAATCAACTAAATGTAATATACTTATCAAATATTAATAAAAGTACTTCTCATAGTTTTCAAAATAAATAAAATACTACTAGTTTTTAATAAGTTGGTCTAACATACACTATAATCTGATTCAATGAAAGTTCACTATTTAGGTTTTCTTCTTTTTTTCCGCGGAAGATTGGAAAAGAGGATCCCAAAACAATTTTTTTTTTTTTTTTAAAAAAGTAACTTTCGGGTCATGTTACATACTCCCTTCGTCCCTATTTAGTTGTCCACTTTAGAAATGACACACATATTAAGGTAACAATGATTAGCATAGTGAAGTTACAATTTTGCCCTTATTAATTATGATTCCAAAATAAATTTATTCAAGATAACTAATCAATGTTAGGGAAGTTTAAATTTTCAAGAAGTTTAAATGAGGGTATAATAGGAATTATTTTTTTGTCCTTTCTTGATTTGTCAAAATGAACAAGTAAATAGGGACATCTAAAAGAAGAAATATGGACAAGTAAATAGGGACGGAGGGAGTAATTGAATTAGCCAACCAGAAGAAACTATACGTATTTTTAGGTACAAAGAAAATGACTCTCTCTCTCTATATATAATATTATAAGCTTTCTATTCAATGATTCTTTTTCATACTAGTCAACGCGTATAAAACAAATTAATTTTGAATTCAATTTCTTAACCTGTTTGAGAATTCATAATTGAAATAGCATTAGACCTACCACATTTTAAATATATTTGTAAAGTAATCTAAACGACACTTAGAGATATCACTCACAAAAATATTTAATAGTTGTTTGACAAATTCCACGACTCAACATGCATTAAAATATGTTGACTCTGAACTCTCTCTTTTTCTAGTTAGTTTTTTTTTAAAAATCAATACTTTTTATATTTAACAATTTTATAAAATTATATTCTATGTGACATATTTAAGACATAAAATTCAAAAGATATTGTAATACGTCATACACAACCTTAATTTTAGATTACAATGTTTTTTTAAAGAAATTACATGCTCAATCAAATTAAGACAAATAGAATAAGATATTTTTTTAAAATAAACTTAAAAAGAAAAAAAAGGGGTTCTCCAAGCCCATAAGAGTGCATTCTCGAGCATCTACACTAATAAATGCAACCAATAACAGTTGTAGTGGAATAATCGGTTATCTTTCATCTTTATTTAGAGATCGAGTTTGAGTTTGAGTAAATATATAGTTGCTATTATTAGAGACTGTTTTATTCTTGATGGAACTTTTCTCCACGAGTTTGAATTTCAATATAAATATTGGACACCAAATGGGGCACTGACAAACACCAATCACATGTACTTTTAATGTTAAGTATAAATTAAGACTCGATTATTATTCCCTCCGCCCCATACCAGTCCATATTATTAAAATAACTATTCCAATTTAGTTGTTGATTTTTAAAACTAAGATATAATTAATTATATTTTTATTTTATCTTTATAATTATTATTTTTTGGAATGTGTAAGTAAATTTGAAAAAATTTAAAAAAAAACTTTAAGAGGTAAATTAGTAAAACTATTCTTCTCATTTATAATTTCTCAAAAAATGTGTACAAAATAAATTAAACAACTAATATGTTCAATATAAATATTGGACACCAAATGGGGCACTGACAAACACCAATCACATGTACTTTTAATGTTAAGTATAAATTAAGACTCGATTATTATTCCCTCCGCCCCATACCAGTCCATATTATTAAAATAACTATTCCAATTTAGTTGTTGATTTTTAAAACTAAGATATAATTAATTATATTTTTATTTAATCTTTATAATTATTATTTTTTGGAATGTGTAAGTAAATTTGGAAAAATTTTAAAAAAAACTTTAAGAGGTAAATTAGTAAAACTATTCTTCTCATTTATAATTTCTCAAAAAATGTGTACAAAATAAATTAAACAACTAATATGTAACGGAGAAAAGTAATTACTAGGTGTGTTTTGTCTATATTTATAAGAGTATTTTTTGGTGTCAAGGTTAGTGATAAACTAGTTTATTGATTGGAAATCTATCTATCTATATATATATATATATATATATATATAAAGGTAGATAAAAAAAAGTGATGTGGCACCTCTCAATGACCAAGAATCATATTTATTTATTTTTTGTGGTTTTTTTTATATTTATTCTATTTTATTTCAATTATTTTATTTATAAAATCATTTCTTTAATTCATACATCTTCAATTACATAATTATATTAGTAACATCTATAACTCCTAACCTTTCATATTCATAACCTTCAAATCATTTAATATACAATTTTATAACTCCTCAACATCACACTTATAAAAACCTATTTTGAGACATATATGATGATTGCTATTTTCATTTTTTTTTATTCCTCATCTTTTGTCTTATTTGCAGGAGAGATATATATAATGAAGAATATTAGACAATTTTGCATAGTTTACTTTTACGAGGTAAAATGATTTGATATGCATAATATAATTATCATTTTTTCTATTGTAATTATATATTTAATTATTTTTTTGGATTCTTGATTATATGAATCATGAGTTTTCTTTTAGAGAAAATTATTTGACTTTTTTTCTTTGCTTCTCTTTGTAGGTTCCTTATTTCCTCTTTAACTCATAACTAAATATTCTTTAAGGTTTTTACTTGATTAGTTAATTTTATTTTTATGTTTTTTTATTGTTAAGGTTAACTTACCGTGTTTTCAGGTATGGATATTTTTAAAAATAAAAATAGAAAAGGGAGTTAACATATACATGTATGCTACTCAAGAAAGCATGATGTAATTTTATAGTTATGTGGATCAACTTTTTATTAATTATAATGATAGAACATGAGAATGTAAAGTTAATTAATTTTCAAAATACAGTATAATTCATAGAAGGATTCACTATTAATACGTAACTTTGTGATCTTCTTATTTTTATTTATTTATTTATTATTAAAAGTTCTTAAGTTTTTGATTCCCTCTTTTTAAAAATACATAGATAAATAAAATAATAATTCTATTAAATATTTAACATTTGTTGTTTGAAAGATTAATACTAATTAGGAGTATATAGGTTTCCGTATAGTGCTTCAGTGAGTCTTCACTATCGGAAATGTCTATTGATTATAGTGCTTTAAGATAATGTGTTATTGCAAAATTTATTAAAATTTACTTTTGTAAATGATAATAATAGTAATTATTATTATTATTTAAAAATGTGTTTCATGAGTTACAAAAAAAAAATATCTATGTATTTGCATTTTCTACTTAAATATCATGCATGTCTTCTCAACTTCCTTCTATTTATTTTTTCATGGTTAATCAATCTATAAATAGCAATTCTCCATGGAGTTATTTCAAAAATAAGCTCATTATTTAGAAGAATTA